ACCCAGCTCCGGACTGCTCCAGCCCCGGCTCCAGCTCCAGCTCCGGACTGCTCCAGCCCCGGCTCCAGCTCCACTCTGCCTCAGAACGGCTGCTGCTGCTGCTCTGCCTCCAGCTCCCTGGGCTGCTTCTCTGGCCCCTCTGGCTCTGGTTGCTGCAGCTCTGCCCCCAGCACAGCTCTGCTCTGCAGGCTGCTTCTGTGACTCTGCTCCCAGCTCTGACCTGCTTCCTGGCTGCTTGTCTGGCCCCTCTGGCTCCGGTTGCTGCAGCTCTGCTCCCAGGGCAGCTCTGCTCTCTTTGGGCCGTGCTCTGGCTTTGGGGCTGCAGCTCTGCTTCTAGCAGCTCAGCTCGGGCCCCTGCTCTCTCCACAGCTCGGCCCCACTCTGTCTGACTCAGGCCATTCCAGTTCACACGGAGGACTGGACCCCCTCTGGCCTCCTGACTCTCTGATTAGCTGCCCGCCCTGTCAATCAGGCTGATCTGGAGCATTGGCCTCTCCCCATTGTTCCTGGGGACTGTCAGTCTCAGGCTCCTGATTTGCCATCGACCCTTCCCCTTTCAGTGCTGGGAGCTAGCAACCAAAACATCCCACTGGATGTTAGTAAGGGGGCAACAGTCCCCTTACACGTTTATTATACTGAGAGCTAAGCTCAAAAGAAGGGGGGCGGGGGGGTCACACTCACACTCGCACACTCTACTCCCAGGACAGGCACAGCACTGGAGATGTCAGGATCCTTTAAGGTAAGTGTCCCTCAGCGCAGCGATGGAGGGTCCGATGAAGGTAAGTCTTCCCGAGGCACGATGAAGTGCAACGCGGCGAACACTGGCCAGGCGGTCCGGTGAAGGGCCTTCACGGGAGGTACAATCTGGTGAGTGCACTGCTGAGCACAGGGCCCCTTCCTCTTTTACGGACCTGCTCCTCATGGCCTGCGACTAGAGATGACTTGGCTGCGTCTGGCTGGTCACACTCCACCTCGGGCAGTGCCCGTGCACTGGGTGTGTGATCGCTGCCTAATCAGAGTCCCAAACACCTTGTCTGCCTGGGAGCTCTTCTGATCTTCCAGCCCATGCATCCCACCAGCATTGCAGGAGGGGGGGGGAGCCACTTCACAGGTATTCAGGGGGGGGGGGGAGTGCAACAGACCTTTTGAGCATACAGGTTATACAGAGCACACAGATCACTGCTGCGCCTACAACAGGGGGGTGTATTGTGTGTAGGGTGACCAGATGTCCTGCTTTTATAGGGACAGTCCTGATATTGGGGGCTTTTTCTTATATAGGCTCCTATTACCCCCCGCCCCCTGTCCCGATTTTTCACACTTGCTATCCGGTCACCCTAATTGTGTGTGTGTGGTGGGGGGAGGGTGACCAGACAGCAAGTGTGAAAAATTGGGACAGGGGCTGGGGGGTAATAGGAGCCTATATAAGAAAAACCGGGACCATCCCTATAAAAATCAGGACATCTGGTCACCCTAGGTGGGGGTGGGGGTGGGTGTATAGGTGGTGGGGGGGGGGGAGGGTGGACACATGTGGCCCACAGGCGTGTCGGGATCAGGCTGCCCAGCCCAG